AACAACCAGGAGTCACGTCATAAATATAAAAAACAGGAGTCAAGTCATCACCTACTAACAACACAGGATCACGTCAACACCTTTGCTAACAACACAGGATACGTCATCACCTACTAACAACACGAAGTCACGTCATCCCCCCCCAGCTAACAACACAGGATCACGTCATCACCCCACCTAACAAAAGGAGCAGTCACACCTAGCTAACCACAGGAGCCACGTCATCACCCAGCTAAAAAACACAGGATTTTCGTCATCACCCACCTAACAACCAGGAGTCCGTCATCACCTCTAACAACACAGGGGTTTTATGCTCACCCACCTAAAAAACCAGGACACGTCATCACCTAGCAACAAAAAGGAGCCACGTCCACCTAAAAACCAGGAGTCACGGCATCACCTAAAAACACAGGGCCACGTCACACCTAACAACACAGGAGCCCCCTCACCCAAAACCAAAAGGGCCACGTCATCACCCAACAAAACAGGACCCGCCCTCACTACAACACAGGGCCCCTCATCACCCCAACACAGGAGTCACGTCATCACCCTAACAACACAGGGCCCCCATCACCTAACAAAAACAGGAGCAAAGCTCACCTAAACAAACCCGGGGCCACGTCATCACCTAACAATACAGGAGTTTAGTCACACCCAATTTAAAAACACAGGAGCCCGTCATCACCTAACAAAAAAGAGCCACGTCATCACCTAACAACACAGGGGCCCGTCATAAAAACAACACAGGGGCCACGTCACCCCCTAATACACAGGGGCCACTCATCACCTAACAACAAAAGGCCACGTCATCACCTAACAACCAGGGCCCTTTATCACCCAACAACACAGGAGCCACGTCATCACCTAACAAACAGGGCCACGTTACACCTAACAACAAAGAACCACTCATCACCTAACAACACGGGGCCACTTCATCAAACCCAACAAACAGGGCCACCCTCGTCACCTAAAAACACAGGAGTCACGTCATCACCTAAAAACACAGGAGCCCGCATCACCTAAAACACAGGGGTCACTCATCACCTACCTAACAACACAGGACCACCACACCTAACAAACACAGGAGCCACGTCATCACCTAACCACAGGGGGTCACGTCATCACCTAACAACACAGGATCTTGTCATCACCTAACAACACAGGACCAAAGTCACCTAACAACACAGGAGACGTCATCCCTACCTAACAAAACAGGTCCCGTCACCACCCAACAAAAGGAGCCACATCACCCCTACAACACAGGGGCCACGTCTCACCTAACAAAACAGGGCCACGTCACCACCTAACAACACAGGGCCCTCACACCCAACAAACAGGAACCCCGTCGTCAACTAACAACACAGGATCCGCTCCCTAACAACACGGAGCCACTCATTCCCAAAACAACCGGATCACGTCACACCTACCTAACAACACAGGAGCCCCGTCAAACCCCCTAACAAAAACCCGGGGCCACACCATCACCTAACAACACAGGAGCCACGTCATTACCAACAACCGGCCCCTCATCACCAACAAACAGGGGCACTCATCACCAAAAAACACAGGAGTACGTCATCACCTAACAACACAGGGCACCCTTTTTCCCCCTAAAACCCCCCAGGGATCACGTAACACACCTAACAACACGGACCACGTCACATAACAACACGGAGCCACTCACCACCAAAAACACGGAGCCAGTCGTCACCTAACAACAAGGACCACGTCTCACCAACAACACAGGCCACGTCACCACCCAAAAACACGGTCACTAACACCCGCCCAAAGACAGGAGCCACTCGTCACCTAACAACACGGAGTCACGTCATCCCTGCCTAACAATCAGGAAACGTCACCACCTAGCAAAACAGGGCCCCTCGTCACCTAACAACACAGGGGTCACCATACCCCCTAAAACACAGGAGCCACGTCACCCCCTAACAACACAGGAGCACGCGTCACCTAACAACACAATCACGTCATCACCACCAACAACACGGAGCCCGTACCCCTAACAACACAGGAGCCCCGCCCCTCCCAACAACACAGGGCCACGTCACCACCTAGCAACGGAGCCACGTCATCACCCAACAAAACGGAGTCACTCACACCTGCCTAAAACACAGGGGCCACTCCCCACCAACAACCAAAAGGGCCCCTCGTCACCTAACAAAAAAGGAGTCATGTCATCACCTACCTAACAACACAGGGGTCCCGTCCCTCACAACACAAGGAGTCACAAAATCACATTTTTCTACCGCCTCTCACATCTTCAGGTCACATTGCCTTACTTACTGTTTGGGTTTTTCCTCGGTAAGTTAAAAAAATCAAGGTGCCCGGATCCCTACGTTATTAAAATTTTTCCAGTTTTGTTTGCCTCTCCGTCTAAACCGTGTGTCGGTATCTAGCTAAGATTTAAATCACGTATTTGCTCCAGCACACGTCCTCACGAAGCTGCACCACACCGCACCCAAACCCCATGATGTCCGTGCTCTAGCGTACAGCTCTGTTGAACCACTTTTCAGCGCTTCCCCTTCACGCCGATGTCAAGGTTCGGTTCCCCCGCATTTTGGGAAAAATTTGGGGGGGTTTCCTTTCAAACCCGGGTTTTCTATGTTCACCCATCGTAAAATGGGTACCTGGTGTTAGTGGACTGGGGTGGGTCGCATCCTGGGTGTTAGTGGATGGGTGGGTCGCATCCTGGGGTGTTAGTGGACTGGGGTGGGTCCCCAACCGGTGTTTGTGGACTGGTTGGGTCGCATCCCGGTGTTTTGGCTGGGGGGTCGCATCCTGGGGGTTAGGGGGTGGTGTGGGGCGCATCCCGGGGGTTAGGGACTGGTGTGGGTCCATCCTGGGGGTTGTGGACGGTGTGGGGCCAAACCTGGGTGTTGTGGGCTGGTGTGGGTCCTCCTGGTGTTTGTGGACTGGTGTGGGGCCACCTGGGTGTTTGTGACTGGGTTTGGTCATTTGGGTGTTAGTGGGCTGGTGGGGGCCCCCATCCGGGGGTTAGTGGACTTTTTGGGGTCGCATCCTGGTGTTAGTGAAATGGTGTGGGGCGCATCCGGGGTTAGGGACTGGTGTGGGTGCCCGGGGTTTTGGGACTGGTTGGGTCGAACCTGGGGGTTAGTGGACGGGGTTTGGCGCTCCTGGGTGTTAGTGGACTGGTGTGGGTCATCCCGGGGTTAGTGGACTGGGTGGGTCGATCCTGGGTGTTGTGGACTGGTGTGGGTCGCCCAAACCTGGGTTTTAGTGGGCTGAGTGGGGCGCACTTGGGGGTTTTGTGGGCTGGGGGGTCGCACCTTGGTTATGGCTGGGGTGGGTCAATCCTGGGGGTTTTGTGGCTGGTGTGGGGCGCATCCTGGGGGTTATGGATGGTGTGGGGGGCATCCTGGGGTTAGTGTACTGATGTGGTTGCTCCTGGGTTTGGGATGGTGTGGGTCGCTCCTGGGGGTTAGGGACTGGTTGGGTGCATCCTGGGTGTTAGTGGGCTGGTGTGGGGCGCATCCTGGGTGTTAGTGGACTGGGGTGGGTCACCCGGTTTATTTATGATGTGGGTCCTCCTGGGTGTTTTGTGTACTGATGTGGGTTTTCTCCTGGGGGTTAGTGGGCTGGGTGGGTCGCATCCCGGGTGTTAGTGATGGGTGGGGCATCCGGGTGTTAGTGGGCTGGTGTGGGGCGCATCCTGGGTGTTGTGGGCTGGTGTGGGTCGCATCCGGGGGTTTTTGACTGTGTGGGTTGCATCCGGGGGGTTGTGGATGGTTGGGGGGGCCTCCTGGGTTTAGTGGGAAAGGGGTGGGGGCATCCCGGGGGTTGTGGACGGTGTGGGTCCCCATCCCGGGGTTTTTTGTGGACTGGTGGGGGTCGCACCGGGGGGTTGTGGACTGGTGTGGGTCGCATCCTGGGTGTTAGTGGGCATGTGGGTTGCATCCGGGTTTATGGACCGTGTGGGGTTTCATCCTGGGTGTTAGTGGGTGGGGGGGTCGCATCCTGGGGGTTAGTGGGCTGGTGGGGTGCATCCCGGTGTTATGGACTGTGGGGTCCCATCCGGGGGGTTTTGTGGGCTGGGGTGGGGCGCATCCGGGGGTTATGGGTGATGTGGTCGCCTGGGTTAGTGGACCCGGGGGGGTTGCATCCCGGGGTTTGGGCTGGGGTGGGTCGCATCTTGGGTGTTTGGATGGGTGGGTCGCATCCTGGTGTTTTGTGGCTGGTGTGGGCGCAACCTGGTTTTTATGGCTGGTTGGGTCCATCCTGGGACAAAACTGACCTAATTTGCGGAAAAGCTCAGCATAAAAGGACTTTCTATATATAGTATGTCAGGATGTCAACTATGGCCGATACCTTTACGACTGGTAGAAATAAAAAAAAATTTTTACTACAGCAGTTCAAATACCAAGCACCCAAACCACGTGGCTCTCACCCAGTGTTTAATTCTAACGAGTTTTCCCCTTGAAAGGGACAAATTTGCGTTGAATGAATTTGCACCAACTGTGGGGTTAAGTGTGACGGTTATCAGCGCGCCGTCGCAGGGCACTTGGGGGGGGGGGGGGCATGCCAGTGTCAGTTTGCGTCATGTCTGCAGTGTCAGTCTTGCTTCCTAAAAAGGTTTTTTATCCCCTTTCGCTCGAGAAGGAAATGAGAAGAAACTTCCTTTATTGAGAACGCGGGGCGGGCCCCAGCGGATTTTTTTAAGCCCCCCCCATTGGCACTTCGGTTGGGTGATAAAAGATGCGGCAATGTATTTGGGGGAAAGGCATTTCCCCTTCGTGATTTTATTTTTTTTGTTTAATTTTCTTTTACATCATTAAAAACCTAATGCTTTTTTTGAATGTAAATTATTTTGTATTTTACGTGAAAATTTTTAATTTATCCAAAGGGTTTTAAAAAGAAAGAAATTGTAAATAAATCTGTGATAAATAGAGAGAAAAGAATTATGTGTCAAATTTGGGATGGGGTGCGGGCCAGCAGGTGTCATGGCTCAGTCATCTGCCAACCTCCATGCTGTAAGCACTGCCCATAAACATCCTCCCGCGTACTAAACTGGTCATTTCGCGTCTTAAAATTGTCTTAGACAAGTGTGAGTGAGTGTCAAGGGTAAATCTGAGACGTGAAAGAGAATGGAACTAGCCAGGGAGCGGCCACCGTCCTATCCCCAGGTACCATCCACTTCCTGCCTATCAGAATTTAATGAGGTAAGTTAATTAACGTTTCACTACGTAATTACGAACCTTTAAATTAATTAATTAAAAATAAATTCCTGGAAACCATTTAGAGATGAAATAAGTCTATTTATACATTAATTTAAGGAAGTTTATAAATTAAACAGAATAATTCACGTAAATCCTTGAGAAAAAAAAGTCTGCATTCGAGTTTAATGTAAATATACATTAATTTTTTTTTGTAAATTATTTGCCAAGGAAAATTTGAAATATATTTATTTTATTTTATTGACGCTATAATGAACTTGTATATTAGGAAGGAATGAAAATATTCCCACTATACAGCAAAAAAAAAAAAAAAAACAGGATTAGTGAATGTAAAGAATGTCAACAAAGGGAGGTTGGTGTGAGGAAGTATTGTTGTTATTATTGAAGAATTATGAAGTTTGTGTTCATCTGGAGCTCAGTAGAGCTCTAGCTCTTGAGAGCGAGGCTCTCCCTGGCTTAATGTTCCACTTTAAGCTTAAATATTATTATCTTGTAAGGTTAAATGTTGTATTTTTCAGATGTGGCTCGACCTGGAGTCTGTGTTCCTGGAGGAGACCAGTCCTGTCGTGTTCCAGGAGCACCACCACCAGCTGGAGCACCACCAACATCAACTGGAGCACCACCAACATCAGCTGGAGCACCACCAACACCAGCTGGAACACCACCACCAGCAGCTGGAGCACCACCATCATCTGGAGCACCACCAGCAGGAACACCACCAACAGGAGCAACACCACCAGCTGGAGCACCACCAGCAGGAACACCAACAGCAGGAGCATCGCCCGCAGCAGCAGAAGGGAGTCAGCAGCAGCAGCCACTCCCCCCTGATGTACCCTCCAACACCCCCCATCCTGGAGCAGGAGGGGGAGGTGGGTCAGCAGAAAGGTGGTGCCACTTGCCACCTGGCGCTACCATCTATCGCTGCAGCCTTTGGCACCGCCAAGGCTGACTACGAGCAGGTGGTGCCACAGTTCCTGCCTCAGCAGGAACAGCAGCATCAGAGCAGACAGCAGCAGCAGTACTCACAGCAGCAGTATGGGTGTGTGGGCGGTGTGTACCCGACCTTCCACTACACTAACTACCCACACCCCGCCCACATCTCTACCCCTTACACTACAGCCGTCACCACTAGTACCACAACCGCCCACACCACAGCTCCTACTACCACTACCCACCCTCCTACACACCCCGCCCACACCACCCACAGTACCGCCCACGCGACATTCGGCACTATGTATCAGTATTGGGGTGGCACCGGAGTAGTTCTAACCCCACCATCATCACCCCACGCCCCTGGGATCATAGCCGCCCCTGTACTGTGCCCTCCAGCTCTGCCTCCATCCACCACACCAACACCCGCACGCCCACGCCGACGCCGTGCCCGCAGACGCCTCATCATCCACAACTGCCCTCACCCTGGATGCGTCAAAACGTACACCAAGTCGTCCCACTTGAAGGCCCACTTAAGGACTCACACTGGGGAGAAACCCTACACTTGTAAGTGGAAGGGATGTGGGTGGAAGTTTGCCAGATCTGACGAACTAACGAGACACTACCGTAAACATACTGGTGATAGACCCTTCCAGTGTAGACTGTGTGAGAGAGCTTTCTCCAGGTCTGACCATCTCAGTCTTCACATGAAGCGTCACATTGCTCTCTGAACTGACTGTCTGGGGCCTGCAGTGACTGTCAACTGAATATGTTGGGCCTGGAGTAACTGTCAGCTGAATGTGTTGGGCCTACACTGAATGTCTGGGACCTTCACAGACTGTCAGCTGGATGTATTGCGTCTACAGTGACTTTCAATTGACTGTGTTGGACCTGCAGCGACTGTCAGCTATGCTGGGCCTGCAGTGACTGTGAACTGACAATCTCGGGCCTGGCCTGACTGTTCTTGGTGACTCTGACCACACCAGACTCCTCTTTGAACTGTGTTAAAGCCTGCAGTGACTGTCACTTGACTGAGTTAGCCAGCAGTGACTGTGTTAAAGCCTGCAGTGACTGTGTTAGAGCCTGCAATGGCTGTCACCTGACTGTGTTAGCTACCAATGACTGTTAGAGCCTGCAGTGACTGTTCCCTGTGTTAGCCAGCAGTGACTGTTAGAGCCTGCAGCGACTGTCAGCTGTGTTAGCCAGCAGTGACTGTCAGCAGTGTTAGCCAGCAGTGGGCTTTGGTGTTGGGGCCTGCAGTGGACTGGGACTTTTGCCCTGTGTTTATTTTCCAGCAGCGACTATATTAGAACCTGCAGTGACTGTCAACTAACTGTGTTAGCCAGCAGTGACTGTGTTAGAGCCTGCAGTAACTATCACTTGACTGTGTTAGCCAGCAGTGACTGTGTTAGAACCTGCAGTGACTCACCTATGTTAAAGCCTGCAGTAACTGTCAGCTGACTGTGTTAGCCAACAGTGACTGTGTTAGAGCCTTCAGTGATTGTCACCTGACTGTGTTAGAGCCTGCAGTGACTGTCAGATGACTGTGTTAGCCAGCAGTGACTGTGTTAGAGCCGGCAGTGACTGTCAGATGACTGTGTTAGCCAGCAGTGACTGTGTTAGAACCTGCAGTGACTCACCTGACTGTGTTAAAGCCTGCAGTGACTGTCAGCTGACTGTGTTAGCCAACAGTGACTGTGTTAGAGCCTGCAGTAACTGTCACCTGACTGTGTTAGAGCCTGCAGTGACTGTCAGATGACTGTGTTAGCCAGCAGTGACTGTGTTAGAGCCGGCAGTGACTCAGATGACTGTGTTAGCCAGCAGTGACTGTGTTAGAGCCCATGCCCGTGACTGTCACATGACTGTGTCTAATGCAAGGTCGATCATGCGGGGGTGACTGTGGGCTGTGACCAAATCTGACTCACCGGACTTTCCTGTGGTACCAGCAGTGACTGGTGAGCCACAGTATACACCTCATCTGTTCAGGGAAAAAAACAACAGTGAAAAAGTAATATGCAAGGAAATGGGGCAAGAAACCCCACACACACCCACACACAGTCGCCAGGTAGTGGGGAAAAGCCTAGCAAGTGAAGTAGGGAGGCAGGGAAACCCTACTGTTTTAAGAAGAGGTATGACAAAGTCGGAAGCAGAGAGGGGGAGCCTAGTAGCGATAGGAAGAGGCGGGGCCCGGGCTGAGTCTCGACCCCTGCAAAACAAATTGCTGATTTAAAACACACACACACACATACAACGCACACACCAACACACCACACACACCACACACACACACACACACCACACACAAAAAAAAACAAACCACAAACACAACACCACACACATACACACACTACACAAATACAACACACACACACACAACACAAAACCACCAAAACACACACACACACAATCACCAATACAAAACTACACACACACACAGTAACAAGGGGACACAGTTGGAAGCTGAAGACACAGATGAATCAAAGGGATGTTAGGAAGTATTTCTTCAGCCACAGAGTAGTCAGTAGTGGAATAGTTTGGGAAGTGATGTAGTGGAGGCAGGATCCATACATAGCTTTAAGCAGAGGTATGATAAAGCTCACGGCTCAGGGAGAGTGACCTAGTAGCGATCAGTGAAGAGGCGGGGCCAGGAGCTCGGACTCGACCCCCGCAACCTCAACTAGGTGAGTTACACACACACATACATACACACACACACACACACACACACACACACACACACACACACACACACATACACACATACACATACACACACATACACACACACACACATCACACCACACATACACACACACCACACACACACACACACACACACACACACATACACAACACACATACACACACACACACACACACACATACACACCACAACATACACACACCACACACACACACACACACACACAACACACAACACACACACACACTCACTCACACACACACACACACACTACACACACACACACACACACACACACACATACACACACCCACATACACACACACATACACACACACACACACCACACACACACACACACCACACCATACACACACACACACACACACACACACACACACATACACACACCACCTACCACACCACCTGCCACACATACACCTACACACCACCTACCACATCACCTGCCTCACCACCTGCCACACATACACCTGCCACACACTACACCTGCCACACACTACACCTGCCTCACCACTGCCACACCACCTGCCACTACACCTGCCACACCACCTACCACACCACCTACCACACCACCTGCCACACTACACCTGCACACCACCTACCACACCATCTGCGACACACTACACCTGCCTCACCACCTACCACACACTACAACTGCCTTAGCACCTGCCACACCACCTGCCACACTACACCTGCCACCACCTACCACACCACCTACCACACCATCATGCCACACCACCTACCACACCACCTGCGACACACTACACCTGCCTCACCACCTACCACACACCACACCACCTACCACACCACCTACCACACCACCTACCACACCACCTACCACACCATCTGCCACACTACACCTGCACACCACTACCACACCACCTGCGACACACTACACCTGCCTCACCACCTACCACACCACCTACCACACCACCTACCACACCACCTACCACACCATCTGCCACACTACACCTGCCCACCACCTGCGACACACTACACCTGCCTCACCACCTACCACACACCACACCACCTACCACACCACCTACCACACCACCTACCGCACCACCTGCCACATCACCTGCCACACCACCTACCACACCACCTGCGACACAATACACATGCCTCTACCACTATCACACACCACACCACCTACCACACCACCTACCACACCCACCTACCACACCACATACCACACCACCTACCGCACCACCTGCCACATCACCTGCCACACCACCTACCACACCACCTGCGACACACTACACCTGCCTCACCACCTACCACACCACCTACCACACCACCTACCACACCATCAGCCACCTACACCTGCCACACCACCTGCGACACACTACACCTGCCTCACCACACACCACACCACCTGCCACACCACCACCACACCACCTACCGCACCACCTCCCAAACATCACCTGCCACACCACCTACCACACCACCTGCGACACACTACACATGCCTCCCCACTATACACACCACACCACTACCACACCACCTACCACACCACCTACCACACCACCTCCCACACCACCTGCGACACACTACACCTGCCACACCACCTGCCACACCACCTGCGACACACTACACCTGCCTCACCACCTACCACACCACCTACCACACACCTACCACACCACCTACCACACCATTCTGCCACACTACACCTGCCACACCACCGCGACCCCACTACACCTGCCTCACCACCTCACACACCACACCACCTACCACACCACCTACCACACCACCTACCGCACCACCTGCCACATCACCTGCCACAACCACCTACCACACCACCTGCGACACACTACACATGCCTCACCACCTATCACACACCACACCACCTACCACACCACCTACCACACCACCTACCACACCACATACCACACCACCTACCGCACCACCTGCCACACCACCTGCCATACCATCTCTCTTATTCATTAACAATGTACAAAATATATGGAATAGATCTGGAGGGCCAGATAGATATATCTATTTGTACTCGGAATAAACTATTACTAATAATCATTGACTTTTTTCATTTAGACCTAGTAATTTATTTTTAGACCTACGGTAAGGCCTAACTGTGTGTTGGGTTATATCTCAGGAACGCTTCGTCCGACTGGTTTGAAACCTTGAAGGATGACGCAGTGTAACTTAGGGTAGCTTTGTGGCCCCCTGTGGGTTTAACGCTTCGTTATGATTGTACCTGGACCACGTTCAGGCAGGTGCTGGTTTGTTCCAAGTGTTCAGCTGGTTGTGGAACAACAATCTTGTTTAGCTGGTGCTGGAACAACAGTTACATCCAGCTGGTGCTGGAATAAGTCACATCCAGCTGGTGCTGAAACAATAGCCTCACCCAGCTGGTGCTGGAACAACAGCCTCACCTAGCTGGTGCTAAAACAACAGCCTCACCCAGCTGGTGCTGGAACAACAGCCTCACCCAGCTGGTGCTGGAACAGTAGCCTCATTCAGCTGGTGCTGGAACAACTGCCTCACCCAGCTGGTGCTGGAACAACAGCCTCACCCAGCTGGTGCTGGAACAACAGCCTCACCAGCTGGTGCTGGAACAACAGCCTCACCCAGCTGGTGCTGGAACAGTAGCCTCATCCAGCTGGTGCTGGAACAGCAGCCTCACCCAGCTGGTGCTGGAACAAGAGCCTCACCCAGCTGGTGCTGGAACAGTAGCCTCATTCAGCTGGTGCTAGAGTAAGTCTCATCCAGCTGGTACTCGAACAACAGTCTCATCCAGCTGGTGCTGGAACAATAACCTCATCCAGCTGGTTGTGAAACAACAGCCTCGTTTAGCAGGTTGTGGAACAACAGCGTCATCCAGTTGGTTGTGGAACAACAGCGTCATCCAGCTGGTTGTGGAACAACGGCCTCATCCAACTGGTTGTGGAACAACAGCCTCACCCAGGATGGTGCTGGAACAACAGCCTTATCCAGCTGATTGTGGAACAAAAGAAAAAATCGTTCCATACTTTTGTGTTGCCTCTCCAACTTCGGAGTTGAAATGGCTGGGTTAGAGCTTGAAATGACAGATTTTGAGCTTCGGTCTAAGGAGATCAGTACCCCGTGTCTGGTTACCCTGCGATACCTGGGGAATGGCTCTCCCGATCGGCTTCAAACCTCCAACGTTGGTATTTCCTGCTTAGGATTAAGTTGTGGGCGTTACTGGATTGTGCAAGGGCCCAGGAGTTATACACCAGCGATACTACTAGCTACACAGGATCCAGGAGCTGCACCCAGACACCGGGTCCAGGAGCTACACCCAGATACAGGGTCCAGGAGCTACACCCAGACACGGGGTCCAGTAGCTACACTCAGACACAGGGTCCAGGAGCTACACCCAGACACGGGGTCCAGTAGCTACACTCAGACACAGGGTTCAGTAGCTACACTCAGACACGGTCCAGGAGCTACACCCAGACACAGGGTCCAGAAGCTACACTCAGACACGGGATCCAGTAGCTACACTCAGACACAGGGTCCAGGAGCTA